GACTGAACTGGTACTGGATCCGGAATTTAACTGAAAATAGAACATAGACATGAATCGGGATTTACATCATTCAAATATACGCTGAACCGGTCTGAACCGGTCAGCTTCCGGTCTGGCCGGACCGCCGGCCTGCTGTGGTCGGGCGGTCGGCCGCTGGCTTGTCCAACGGGCCTGCTTTGCATCAGGCGCAGGCGCTGGCTTGGACTGGCTGGCCTAGGCATGACCTAGGCCTGCTGGCTTACTGGCGCGGGTGCAGACGCTTACGCACTCTGGCGTGCGACTGGCGTTGCACGGCGCACATAGAACGACTATTGGGCGCAACAGGGCGCTGCCGACTATCGACTGCGCATGACCTAAGCTGCTGGCGTGCGACTAGCGCATCGCGGACATGATGCTGGTCATTGACGTGCGTATCGCGTGCACTGGCTAGTGTTCTGGCACTTCCGGGCGCTGTGTGCAACGGCATTTGCGCAACTGGACACTGTCGGCGCTGTCTAGCACCGCAACAGAATACTGGCTACCTAAGGACGTGCAGAATTGGCGCCGACTGGCGCGACTGAGTACCACAAGGGCGCTACCATGCGACCCTGATGGCACTGGCACTCGGGCGTGTTGTCGGGCACAGCCCAAGGCTGACTGGCTGAAGATACGCGCACTGGCGTGCGCTTGGTTATACTGGCATGCACTAGGCACTGGCCAGTCGCTGACTACCGCGGGTAGGGTTAAGTGCGACACCCGACTGTCATGCAAGCACGTCACCCGCGTACGCGGTCTGACTGCCGGCGCGCACTACCCGCTGCGTGCAGGCATGGCGACCACGACCGATCTTTACCGGCCGTCCGACGGTTTCCTTCGACAATTACTACTTAATTGGACATATCATGATATATAAAGAATGAATTTATAAAAAATAGTTCAGTAGTTGACGATTAAACATGGACATGGCTCGAGATGACTTAAAATGACTTAAATCGAGTATAACATGACATTCTTCATGGATCGGTCTACACGATATGAACTTAGTGAACAAGTCATGATCATTTAAACATTATAAGAGGGTCATAGGAGTCGTACCCTTCCAATTTGCTCGACGAAATAAACGAAATTCACGTGAACTTGCTTGAAGATGTGCCTGTGCGTACGTATTTCTTTCTTGGCTTAAACTCTCGGTTGTGTGTTATTTTCTTGACTAAAGATGAAGTAACTCCCTTCAATGCAACGCAAGGCTAGGCTATTTAATGATCAAATGGTGGCAAGATTAGCTTGAGGTGTCGAAGTGCTACGGCACTAAGCTTTCTTGCAAGCTATATTTCTCCACTTTATATGTAATAGTCTTGTCTATATTTCTACTCTCGGTTGCATGGGAAGGCATGACCAAAATCTCACGGCCCTTATTTAAAGATAGGTAAAATATGGAAATGAAAATACATGTTAACTTAAGTGGTGCCACTTGCCATTCTCTAAGACTTTGGTGGCATACAAAAACGCCTTGTCATAATGTTTAAATGGTGCAAAATTTCTTAGTCATCTTGTGAGTATTTAAAAGAGTGCCACATAGCTAAGTAAAAAGAGGACTCACCCACGCCACTTGCACCATAATAAATTAAGATATCCCCTTTGCAATCACTATTAATTAGATTAAGATTAGCTAATTAACAAGCTAATTGGCGCACATTCATGGATAGTATAATAATGGACAATTGTGTGGTACTTAGCCGCATGATCCATACTCTTGACATTTAATTAGGATTTAATCTTGGACCGAACTTACTTAATTTCGGGCGGAACTTGACTTCGAAAATTAATTCGAATAATCTTAATTACCAATAATTATGTAATATCCCGCCAGTTTCAGTATAAATTATGTTTTTAGTTCCGATATAATTTTCGGAATTAATTATTTTCAGTCTTTTCAGTCGAGATTACCGAAAATTATTTTCGACGTACCGATTACGTTCGGAATAATTTTGGCAATTAAGTATTATGTTTAATTGAATAATTAAACATAATTAAGTGATTAATTATTAATTAATCACAAGATTAGTAACTAAAGCTGTACAAAAATTTAAAATTTCCTTCATAAGCCGTGCGTAGCTAGTGTAGCATGATGATGGATAATTGTCCAAATTTCCTTCATTATTAAGCCAATAAACGTGGCATCATCACATGAGTTTAGGGAATGATTAGGCTTTGATTTGGATGAGTAAGCTCTCTTACATTCTCTAAGTGTGGCAAGTGGTGCATGGAAATTTAACCACTTCACCCCTCATCATATTATCTCTCGGCACTCTATATATATGTAGTCAATTTGGAATTTTCCCAACTTTTTCCTAACCTTATATGAGCTTATATTCAGCATATTACATACATAGTTGAGAGGGTGAGAGTTAGAGAAATTTTTCCATTTCTAGTACCTTAAGTTGCCACACCGAAGGACCAGTACGCACGCACCGTACGCTAGATCACGCCGCACCGCAAGCTAGTAAGTAACCCCGCGTGTAGCTGCAGTACTCCTCGGCAGTCAGCGCATCGCTCGGTGATCAAGCGCACGCAAGCACCTGCTCGTGTTGTAGTAGTCCGTCGCACGTACCACAAGCCATCGCACGCTACGTCGCAAGGTACCGCACGGCGTCGCATCGCGCGCGGAGAGCCACACGACCAAGGGAATCCGAAGTAGTGCCGTCAGTTGACCATAATCGGAGGTAAATTCCCTATCGTTGTAGGCTGAGATTAATACTTTTATTAAGCTTAGTTTTCAGTTTTGACGATCATGCGCGTTTTATGCTGTTAAGGCCGTGCGAGAAGCCGTGCCGATCATGTCATATTTTAAGTTAAAATTCTCCGAACTATCTTCGCATATTTAGTCTTTATATGCAAAATTATGTTTAGTTTAGCTTAAGTGTTCGGATGATTAATCATGTTTTGCGGTGTTTCGGCCAAAGGTGGCGTGGCCGTGCAGTATCACGCGCCACGGGCCGTTCACGAGTAGCATATTTGCTAAATAAATGTTCTTTCGAACCAACATGTTCAGTTCTTCAGTATATCATGTTTAAGTTCAGTTAATTGTGTTTTGCCGAGAAGAATTAATGTTCGGTCGTAAAATGGCACAACGCTGTCGGCGGCGCACGGTGCGTCCGCCGCGGCCAAAGTTCAGTCCGTTGAGCAAATTTTCATGTCTTCAGTAATAATCAGTTCATATGTCATGACATGCTATTTGAGGTCAGTTTGTTCGGAAATTATTGCCGGACGGCCGGCAAGGGCCGGCCGTGGCCGCGCTGTCCGCACACAGTGGCAGCAGCGCGCCCGGCAGC